ATAAAACAACTCAAACCGGCGATTTGACCCGTCAGGATCTGTACCTCCTTCACCTTCGTAGGAGGTTTCATCTCGATCACTGCTCGCACATTCTCTGAGTTTACTTCAATTCCTCTCTTTGTCATCATGTATCCAGAAATTTCTCCGACTTCACCCCAAATGAAAACTTAGCAGGATTCAGCTTCATACCATATCTCCGCAATGTCAAGAATGTTTCCCTCAGGTCGCCCACATGATCGATCGACCTTCTCCATGCTCTTTACCAGCATATCATCGACATAAAACTCTACATTTCGCCCGAGCTGCCCCTTAAAAATCTCATCGACCAGCTTTGATACATTGTCCCCGCATTTTTCAGACCAAATAACATCACCACATAGCAATAAGTCCCCCTGGTCGTCACAAACTCCCCTCTTTCTATCTTCTTGAGCCAAAGGGATCTGATGATATCCTTGGGATGCATCCATCAAACTGAGATGCTCAGAACCTGCAGTAGAGTCGACCAGTTGGTCGATCCTCGGTAATGGGTATAAATCCTTAGGGCACGTCTTGTTGAAATCACGAAAATTAATGCACATCCTTCACTTGCCCTCCGACTTCGACACCATCACCGTGTTGGATAACCACTCGGGGAATTGGATCTCCTTAATATGGCCCGCCTTCAACAATTTTTCCACCTCCTGCTCAATCACCTTATCCATCTCCGCCCCATGATGTCTCCTGTTCTGCTTCACCGGCCTCACTGTGAGGTCGATATTCAACCTATGCTCGGTCACCTCCGCCTTAATTCCCATTAACTCTTCAGCGGTATAAGCAAAAATATCCGCGAACTCCCTTATCAATCCAATCAACTTAGACCTCATTGGCTCCTCCAATTCCTTTCTGATTCTAATCTTCCTCTCCTCTTAACCTTCCACCATTTGAATCTCCTCAATCTCACCCCCAGGTTGCATTTCCGTCTTCTCATTTCCCTTATTGGACTTCACCTTTTCCTCCCGCGACTTTGAACCACCAGGTCGATTTGGTATTTCCTCCTCCGACTTCACCTGCCTCTTTGCCAGTTGCTTATTGCTACTCACCGTGGTTTGGTAGCAGCTCCTCGAGGCGAGCTGATCCCCCGCGATCTCACCGACATTTTCGCTCACCAGATATTTGATCGTCATGTGGTACGTCGACACGACCGCCTGGAATGCATTCAAACTGGTCCTCCCCATGATAATGTTGTATGATGATTCCACTTCTACGACCACAAACCTCACCATCCTCACCTTCCTCGTCACTCCCTTACCAAAAGCAATGGATAAGCTTACTTCTCCCATCGATATCATCTCTCCCCCATTGAAACCATACAAGGCTGTGGCCACCGGCTTCAGCTCCAGATTCAATTCCTTGTTAATCTGCACAAAACAATCATAAAATATAACATCGACTGAGCTTCCCGTATTGATAAACACCCTCTTCACATCGAATCCTGCCACCTCCGCCGTATCACCAATGCATCATTGTGGGGCAACACCACTCCTTCCGCATCCTCTGCTCGAAAGCTAATCTCTGGAATTTGAGCGCTACTACCCACTTCTTCCCTCTTTTGCTTCATCTTTCGAACATGTCCTGTCCTTGCATTGTTCAAGTCCCCATCCGGCGGCCCTCCAGAAATCATATATATCGTTTCCCTCTTCATGAGGCCAAAAACCTCATGTCCTCCTCGATATCTGCTCCCCCTTCTCCTCTTTCCCTCATTGCCTCTTTGGCTACCTCGCTCCTCTCGAGTATCATCCTCCTCATCGTCATCCCTATCACTCATCTCCACTGAATCCTCCCGACACCTTCTCTTCTCTTTCACCTTCACCCTATCATGATAGACAAACTCCTTGAGATGCTCTGCTCGAATAAGGCACTCGATCTCATCCTTGAGGTGCCGACAATTCTGCGTCATATGACCATAATCCTTGTGAAACGGGCAATACCTCCTCGATTTGGGCTGCGTCGGTCCCTCGAACCTCGACCTGGGCCATGTCACATCCTTGTCATCTATCTTCTTCTTAATGGCCACCAACACTTCTCCTATTTTCGCATTCAACAGCGTGAAGTTATGAAACCTCTTTCCTCCTGCAATAGGTCGATCCTTCCACCTATCCTCACGCCCTCGATCTTGCCTACCACGCCCCTCCCTCCTGGGCGATCATCTCCTCGGTGACCCCCTCTTAAGCGAATTTGTCTTCCCCTTCTTTGGCTTTGGACGAGCCAACTCCTCCAACTTAGTGAACTCCGCCTTCGTCTCCTCGAGATTGATATACTTTTTGCACCTCTTCAACACCTCATCATATGTAGGAGTAGGGTTCTTAGCCAAAGATGTTATACACGGCCCTGCTCGTAAACTCGTTATCAACCCTCCTGCCTTAACCTCGTCCGCCGCCGTTGGAATCTCCAAACAAGTTTGATTGTACTGAGCTACATACTTGCGTAATGACACCTTCTCTCCCTACGCCATCGCTATCAGTGTCAAGTACGTCTTCTCCTGCGCCACCGCACTCGAATATTGATTTGTCAACTTCTCGGCAAAATCCTCAAAATCTGTGATCGACCCAGGGGGAGTTGCTAAAACCAATCAAGCGCCCCTCCTCTCAAGGTCGACAGAAATGCCCTTCAACCAACAGGGTTAGTATAACCATGTAACACAACAATATTCTCAAATGTCCTCACATGCCTCGACGGGGCAGAGGTCCCGTCGAACACCAAACTCATGTCCCTGAAATTCGCTGAAAATGGTGCGGCAAGTATGTATCCCAAGAACGAATGTCCTCGAGAAAGCCTATTTGTTCGACCATCCACCTTAGTTGGAATACCCGATTTGGATCGGAGTCGGCTGTTGCTAAAGGAAACGCCGTAAAGCTAGAAGTAAGCTTTCAGGAGCGTCAATGCTTGAAGGGGAATGCAAGCCGAGGGGATGAAATATCTCTCTTAGCTCTCATTCGATCAATCAGCCTATTCTGTGGCAGAATAGCATGTAGGTGTTTTCCAAGGTATTCTGCAATTAACGCACCTGCTCGGCAAGCCTCCCCATCTCCCGATCTCGAGGAACCCCTTCTCCTCCATAACTAGACACGTCCTACTCCATGTTGTGACGCGCACCCGCCCCCGTGGTCAGAGCAGTAGTCGCTCGAGAAAAGTTGTTCATGACTTGTTGGACCGCTTGCGCAGCTGCATCCGCCACCATCTGCTGCATCTCCTGCCTAGTCATCACCACTTGCTGACCAGGCGGTTTCTCCTTCCCTCGTGGTGGTGCTGCTCCCTGCACCACCGCTCCCAAAGGCGGAACCCCGACCAGATCTGGTTGCAACGGCGGTGGAATCGCCGTCCCCTGCACTGCCCGAGCCTCCTGAGCACGACTCGAACCCACGTTTCCTTTTGGAACCATCGATGAAACCCCTAAACCTTGAGGAACAGACGTTGGGGTCACCGGTGTTTGCGAAGGTCTGGAGAAACTCAGAGAAGGGCCTTCTCCGAACGGCCTTGTCGTCGTTTAAGCTTCATCGAACGATTACTGCAAGTTGATTACGGGAACTCCATCCGCCATAGCCAACAAGCTCAAAAAACCTTAGCACACCACTTTTTGAACGAAAGTCCCATAGACGGCGCTAAATGGTAACGCCAAACACTCCGACCGGCTGGAAATCGGTCTGCCTCCTTCCTCCTCGCCGGTAGAATGCCGCGTACCTGCAAAGAACTCTCACACCGGAGGGATTTTTTGGTGAAGAGCTTCCGATGCTTAAGTCAGGGTTTGTTCTACTCAAATCTCAAGAGTAAAAATGGATGAATCGTGTGTAACAAGAAAGGCTCACCCCATATATATAGGGTGAGATACTTGACCTAGGGGCTGCCCGGATTTGGTGAGCTGTCTACCCAGAGCTTCCGGTCCGTACACACACAGCGTGCGTGTGTCAGAGGTGGTTATTACCTCATACCAATACCTTTTCGCCACGTGTCCTCTTCACATGGAGTAATTATTCCTCTGAATATTCCTTCGAAATTCCCTCAAGAGACTCACGCGCTCCCTCGCGTTTACTCCACGCATTGGATTGCTCTTCACCTACAAGGTGGTCGATCATATGATCTCATGTTCTGTAAGTCGACCCTCGACTAGATTTCTCCTGTATTTTAGGCCCAACGTATATCTCATGCCGAGACCTTTCTCATCCCACTTCCACTGTGTTCGATCGTAACTTGATATTGTTCGACCCCCTTCATTCTGCCCGATATCTTTCGATTGACGTGGCTTCTCCAGTATTAGGTTTGTTCATCCGGTCTAACAGACCGGTATATTTCCTCAAGCATATAATATCCCATATCACCGTGCATCGCACTAGATTCATACTAGCTAGTTTTAATGTGTTTAGAAAACTGATACCTATACTGGAATAGGACAATACCAGTGTTGTAGTAGACCAATACTTATATATTGTCATTTAGTACCGACTTATACGAACAAAAATGAATATATATTACAAATATATGTTTACAAAAATGATACTTATAATGTTGTAGGACGATACCAATATTGTTGTAACTTATTACCTACATATTGTGTGAAAGGAAAGTGAAAGAAAAATAATAAAAAATTAAGAAAAATTTGTAGTCTGAGAAAAAAATAGTAGAAGATGAGAAAAATAAAATAATAAATAATATTTGGAAAGAGAGAGAAAGAAAAATAATAAAAAATTAAGAAAGTTAGTATTGGAGAGAGAAAGAAATAATAAAATAATAAAAAAATTGATTGGTAATGGAGGTGATGTCGTTTTTTTGTTTTATTTTAGTATGGGGAGTTAAGTGGAAGATGATATTGAGGGTCTGAATGCAATAAAAAATAGAATTTGGGATTGAATCGGGACTTAAAAGAAGGTCTAGGGATTTACGTGGAATTCGCCCTATTTCATTCAGATATCTTCACTATATATGAAGAATAGATGCCTAATAACATGAAATATCATGACAAAAAAAAGAATAGGCTTTGTCTTATCAGCATTTGTGTTCATAAATATATATTAATAAACAATTTCACTAATACAATTCGATACAAATTATAATGATGCCTCAATTTCTGATATTCGGGGTTTCTGAGATGTTTACTGCAGTCGGTGGGTTGATCGAGTTTTTCTACAAACAATCGTTGAGAGGCATGCAAGCATTCCTGACAGCTATACTAACATTAATTTGATGATTTTTTACTCGTTACCTCCAACTGAATGATATAATTGTAATAAAATCATTATGTTTTGGTTGAGAGACAAATAAAATTATAAGCACCAATCAAATATGACACTGGTTAAATTAATCAATTCATTTGAAAACATATTTAACAACACCAGGGAGGTGAATGTTGATGAAGTAATCCTCCCAGTTAATGTCTTTGGGATCAAAGTAGAATATATCAGTCTCAACTCCACTTTCCTTTGCAGCCCTCCTTAGCTTCTCCGTGTTCATATCATCATAACTGCACAACACAAAAAAATTGTGTCCTTTATTGACATTGTCTTCATTAATCGAGCCGATCGAGTCCAATGCTACTCGTGTTCGAACATCTTGCGACTTTTTTGACATTTCGTATTGGTCTTTCCTTATTTTTTTCTTTAAATATTTCCTTTTAATTTCCTTTTTCTACTTAGCCAACTTGAGATTTAAGAAACTAATAATACTCACTATCCTTTGAAGAACAAATACGGCGCATAAAGCTCAACCAGCCGCAAAACGAACTTGATCTTCCTGCATTGCTCGTGATACACGCCTCCGAAATACTGGCAACAAGCCGTGTTCACTATTTGGAGTCCCTAAAACGAAAACGAATTATCAGTCGTGCCTTTTATTTTGTTAAAAAANAAGGAAAACAACATTGGGACTAAAATGGAGAACCTTCAAAGGAAGTAAGTAGCAGATGTATAAGTATCTACGGAAACTCTCCATGGAATTCAACACTTTGATTTTCCCGACTATGACTGGCTTGCCTTGTTTGTCGATCCATGGGTGCTCGGTAAAGTAGCGTTGACCGTAATCTTGAATTGACTTGAATTCCAAAGGGTTTGAAACAGAGGACCCAACATGATAAATGGTCTGTTGGGGCTGATTTGCATGGGCAGCCATAGATACTATTATGGCATTCACTACCATATCTGCTGGTATCTGCATTATTACATTCATATATAAGTGGGACACAAATTATTTGTATTTTTTTTAATGGAAAAAATAGACATCCAATAATAAAAAGTCCGGTGAGGACGGTAGGACCAAATTGTCCTCCATATTATGATAAGCCTATATAATTATATATGACGGACAGGAAGGGAAAATATAATAGACGCACCACATCAATGACGGTCTTCGGATTCCCAAGGAAACATGACATCTTTCCTTTACCGTATGCAACTGCTAAGCTATCAATTGTTCTGCAAATCACAAACATTTTCATTTTAACAAATAAATGAAGCACATCCTTTTATTAAATAAAACTTGGAATTAATCAAAATATTGAATAATGGGATTCATATGTATTGATGAGAAAATACCTAACTCCTTCAGCCCAACCAGGGAAAGGCTCCTTGTAAGTACTTGTGACAATTGTGGGACGAATAATGACAAGTGGTATATTTCCTTTTAATTCTCCCAACAACATCTCCCCCATGGCCTTGGTGTAAACATAGGTATTTGGCCAGCCGAATTTCCTAGCTCTGTTGTACTAAATTCATCGTCAACAATTTTTCGACCAAGTTTTGTACTTTCTAATTATTTCGAAATCGAACCGTATCAATTTACTTGTTAGCATAAACCCAAGTTGCTGTTCATATATCAATTGTTATGTACAAAAGCAGCCACCGGGCGTTAAGCAACTATACCCAACATGTCATACTAATAAGATACATGCAAATTTTTTAAACTATGTGACTATAATTGGGAAAATTTCAAAATTAGTCCCACAGGTATAGGGGGGTGACAATTTTGGTCCCGACGGAATGCAGAAAATATGAATAGTCCCACATCTTTTAAAAAATGATCAAAAGTAGGACTTTTTCGCCGGATTTACTATTTCCGGCCCAGAACGCCACGTGGCATCCGACGTGTTCATATTTTTTTACAAGTTGTGGGACTAGTTTTGAATTTTCTGCATTCCATCGGGACAAAAAATGTCACTCCTCTATACTTGTGGGACTAGTTTTGAATTTTTTTCTATCTACGTCGGATGCCAGCGTGTAAAAAATAAGCCACGTGTGCGCCACGTGGCGCTCCGGGCCGGAAATAGTAAATCCGGCGAAAAAGTCCTACTTTTGATCATTTTTTAAAAGCTGTGGGACTATTCATATTTTGTGCATTCCGTCGGGACCAAAATTGTCACCCCCTATATCTGTGGGACTAATTTTGAAATTTTCCCGACTATAATTAGTACTTAAGCGTACGTGTGAAAATAACTAATTAATATTAGTTAAGATGTATGTATGTAGGTAGAGAGTGGTGTATCTAACCTTTGAATTCCCAAATCTTTCATTTTTGACTTGATAATGTCTTCACAAGAGTTGTCAGCTTTGAGTTGTTTTAGAGTGTCGTTTACCAACTTTTTTTCGGAGTCAATGTCAAGGCCAGATGTCCCATTGAGGGTTTCCCCCATTTTGTATGGAGTTTCCAATATCAGCCCCTCTTTTTCACCAGATACATAAGCTGAAAGTCAACAAGTCAAATAAAAATAACAATGTGTTGCGATTATGATATTTTTGTATTCCAATTCTCTAATCAAATTAATTAAAAAATTTGAAAATAAAGAAATCTTTTTATAAGTTTTTGCATATGGATAAATTGCTAATTTGTGTACTAATAACAAATAAGGGGTAAACAGAAAGGGAAAATGTGCTGACTAATGTACTAACCAGTTGATACGTGAACAAGCACTTTTAACTTGTGGCATTTCTTGGAGAAGTTGAGTACATGGGTAGCCCCAATTGTATTTATTCCAAGCAAAACATCATATCTGCGTATTGAAAAGTAAATAAATACAATTAGACCTAATATTCACATATAAAACAAAAGTATTAATAAATTAAACAGAGACCCTTAATAGATAATATAAACTTATTTATGGACTAGATGAAAAATAAATGCATATTATAACAACAAGAAATATTATATTGTACCAAATGATCACTAAACTATTTCAATGGAAATATTAGCAAAACTTAGAGTGCACAACTAAATTAATCCGTTGGAATTAAGTTCCTTTTGGAATTGTCATCGTATCTAATGCAATTTTTACAGTGATTCATTGCTGTGAGAATTTTCATTATAGTTGTTTTTTTATTTATTTATTTACATAAATGCAAAATCTGACATTGAAATCATTAAAATACGGTAATTAAGTTATATATATATAAAATATTTTAGTTTTGCTTATCTTGAAGTCTTGTTGGGATTTTTTTTAACACAATTACACGTACATTCAAATATCCCATGTAAAATTTAACCGTTTCGAGTTTTCTTGAAATTTATACGTACCTATCATCAAAATTGGTATTTGCAGCTAAATTCACGACAACATCAATTTCACTCCACATTTCTTCCAACAATCCCGAGTCCTTCACACCTAAGTTCTCGAAAGTAATATCTCCAGCTACAACTTTAACTTTTTCCGAGACGAGCGAATTTAAATTCCCACCATGCTTATCTTTCAGAACCCTGAACAAATCCTTTGCCAAAACCTATATACAAAGCAACAAAAATAAAAAAAAAAAAATGAAAAGAAAGACATTTGTCAAAGAGAACCTTGATAGACTGGATTTTTTTATTTATTTTTCTCCCAGTCAATTAAAGTAAACTAAATCGCAATAATTATAATTAACTTATTTACCTCGTTGTTAAACCGTAGCATGGCTGATATTGTATCTGAAGCCCTCAAGAGAAGAAAAAGTTTCTTCACATTTGGCTGTACCCTCAGTACCTTCTCAGTAAAAACTGCATAAGATCAAATGCATGAGCTAAAAATAGTACTCTCATCTCATGTGTCACTTGTACTATATGAAAGTCTGCATNTCTGCATAAATATACATAAATGATTTATTTGGAGGTTTTAATATGTTTCTAAGTATATCACTTTTTTTTAAAAAAAAATTCATTTATGTATGGTTTTAATTTGAATATCGTAATTTTATTACAGAAGAAAAAAATAATCATAAAGTGTTACAAATGTAGAAGACCCTTTTACATTCAATTCCCCAGAGTCAACAAGTCAGGGCCAAAAAATATAAAATTAATGCCCACAATCCACAACAATCTCCTAATATTTTAAAAGTTGGAAATATTCGTCATCTATTAACATAATAATAATAATAATAATAATAATAATAATAATAATAATAATAATAATAATAATAATAATAAAGTATGTATGTGAAATGGATTGAAAGGAATATAAATCTATAAAAAAAAAATTACCAACGGAAAATGAGGGCCGGAACGAACAAAGTAATATTTTATAGTCAATAATCACTTATTATTATTATTATTGTTATTATTATTATTAGAAATGAAATTCAATGGATGAGAAAAAACAAAATATTCTTATGTATCAAAAACAAGTGTGAGTAGAAAGAAGACTATTTCAATTCAAATATTGAGAGACGTGGACCCATTGGGGGCATTTAATTGATCTTGGGCAAAGAAAGTAATAACTTGGATTTGTGTCAATTAAGTTGGACTTAGTAAAAAATAATTTTTAACATATTATAAATACATAGTAATTTATTTAAATAAGGCCGCATTTTATTAATGGGCCCTGGGCCACTGCCCAGCTTACAACGCTACTGTTTGTCTTGTGTTATGAATCAATTGTAAGCCAAATTCAAAAGAAAAATAGAAAAGGATTACGTACTCTTTGCAAGAAATCCAGTGGCTCCAGTGACGAGAATGGACTTGTTCTCCAAGAAATGAAGAATGCTGCCCAGCTCCATTTTTGGAGGATATGATTATGAACAACAATGTGTTGAGAGAGAGAGAGAGGAGAGAAAGAGAAAGTATATGCAGAATATTAAGGGAACTATAACATATCATAGTATATATAGAGATGCATATGTGTGTTTATGCAGATCTATATTTTAAGCGGTTCATATATAAGTCTTGAGTGCACGCAAGTCTTATCAAGTATATTAATTTTGGTAGGTATTTATAATATATTTTATTTTGTGCATTGATTACTACATCTTTCATCACAATATTGCCCTTTTTTGTGTTCAGACGTTTTTTTCCGTTCGCTTTCATTCTTACCTGTATGTTTCAGGCATAGATAATCAAACGTTTTACGTGAAGAAGGCTCTTGGTAGCCAACCACGAAATATTAGATAAACTATATTTTTTCTGTAATAGCTATGCATACTTTCAATCTTATATATATTATTAAAAAAAATAATATAAATAGAAATATGACATTTTATAATAAATTTGTTCGTATCGCGCCATTCATGATTACATGTATACAGTACATTGAATTAAATTGAATTACACCAAGAAAATTGGAGATTAATTTAAAATAAAATTAACTAGGAGTGTTTGAGTTCCACATAAATTTCTCAACCTTAACATGAATAAATAAAAACACTAAAATACATGTTATTTTCGTAAACATGTTAAAAAAAATTCTAATTATCTATACAATTTTTTATTAAAAAATACCTACAATTTTATATGCTATTTTCTAAAAGTATCTTAAAATTATCTACAATTTCTCAAAAGAACCTACAATTTTATATGTTACTCAAAAGAAAATATCTAAAAACAGATATGATATTCTAGCCTAAAGCGGGAATGAGATAAATAATATAAATAGTATAGTACCCGTGTACTACATGGGTGCTTGCTAAAAAAATTATATATCAAATAAAAAATAAAAAAAGTTTTAATTTTCTAATAATTATTTTAAAATATATTTTATTTGTATTTAGAATAACACATATCACTTATTATAATAATTTTTTAACTTATATCATATAACTAATTTGTAGTTAAATTAATTTAAATATTTTCTTATAATACTATGTCAAATCAAATATCATCAAGACATAATTATATTAATTTGATATACGGTATATAAGAAGTTGAAATAAAAAAGCTATTAGCTTTTAAATATATTTATAATTCATGATAGTAAATATTTTATAATTATAAAAGAAAGATGAAGAAAAAAGAAAGATTGGAGCAAAAATTATACCATATAAAGCTTGTCTAGAGTAGGAAATAATATGAAAATATAATTAATGCTCTTAGAAACGATCATATATATCCAATATATGTATGGATATTCAAAGCCTAGTTATTTTTGGATTGGAAATAAATTAAAATTCATCCAAGACAAATAATAAACCATGAAATTTTTCCACATAGGATTTTGAAACGTGCGTGCCTACCACACTACAAGAAAATGATGAAATTCCAACGGAATTATATTCCAATAGAATTCCAACGACAATTCCAATGTATATTTTAATGTTATTTTTTCCGTTGGAATTACTCCAACGGAAGTTCCAACAAAAATATTCCGTTGGAATGAGTTTTCCATTGGAATTTTCGTTAGATTGTAACGGAAATTGCATATTCCAACGGAAATTCCTACAGTCAAAAGGCGTTGGAAATATAGCCGTTGGAATCATCAAATTCCATCTAAAATTCCAATGAAAAATAAATTCCAACAGAATATTTTCGTTGGAATTTCCGTTGGAATCATTCCAACGGAAGCTATACCATTGGAATATTCGTTGGAATTTCCATTGGAATATATTATCATAGGATTTTTCGTTGGAATATAACATTTTTTTGGTAGTGCCACTTAAGCTCAGCGCATTTGAGAATTATATATATGTGGATTTTACTAAAGTTGATAAATCAAAATCATTCTAAATACTAACATACAATTTGAATAACACGAATATGAGAAGGGGTCATCCTAATTTAGTTATTATGATTGCAATTAAATTATTTTATTAATTCAAAAAAACAAACCTATTTCATTATCAATATTCGAAAAGTTGTTATTAAACAGGTTGATTTTAATATTTTTTACAAATTAATTCTAGGATTGATCAAATTCTATTGAGTCTGACTCATTTAAAAGTTAATTAAGCAGATAAAAGAGTGCACAAAAATTAGCAACGAAAAAAATAGAAAGCCGATCAAACGTGTGAATTGTTTAAATAATTTCAATTTCAAATCAAACATATACACTACAAAAAATGTCATATTCCAACAGAAAATCCTACGGTAATATATTTCAATGGTATAGCTTCCGTCGGAATGATTTCAACGAAAATTCAAACGGAATTATTCTGTTGGAATGATTTTTTTTATTGGAATTTAGATGAAATTTTATCATTCCAACGGCCATTATTCCAACCTTTTTTTGTACTGTAGAAATTCCCGTTGAAATATACAATTTTCGTTGTAATTTTTATTTTCAGTACCCATATTTCAACCGTTGGAAAATGTGCTGTTGGAATTGTCAAAATCCAACGGCCATTATTCCAACCTTTTTTTGTACTGTAGAAATTTCCGTTGAAATATACAATTTTCGTTGTAATTTTTATTTTCAGTACCCATATTTCAACCGTTGGAAAATGTGCTGTTGGAATTGTCAAAATCCAACAGAAATTCCAAAGAAAAACTCATTCCAACGGAATATTTTTGTTGCAATTTCTATTAGAATCTATTAAAACATTTCAACGGAATAACAACATTGGACTATCCATTAAAATTTTCGTTGGAATTCTTTTGAAATATATTTCCGTTGTAATTTTCCATTAGAATTTCATCACACTCTTGTAATAATAGGATAAAGGCAGGATAATTCAAATTTAATTTAATTAGAATTTTTATTATTATTTAAAGTAAATAGGTCTAACTTATAAAGTTTGGTGGTCTACTCCTTCTACCACCAATTGGTTTTGGGATTAAACTTCACTATAACGACTCTAGGTGATAGGTCGAAAAATGTGTATGTTTTATATATTTAATAGTGTATTTTATACGCTTGATTTATTTACACGCTTATATTTTTCGACTTATTTATTTTCTAGATGAATTTATTTGCTTTGATATTTTTATGTTTAATTTTCAGGATATTTGAGTTTTTTTATGAGCGACGTGGTATCAAACGAAAATTTGGACGTGGTTAATTTGGACCGAAGATTAATGAAATTAAAAGCCCAATATAATTGATTTGTTTGCTTTGAAGAGCAAAAATGGAGCTGGTTACGTGGGAGTTAAAGAAAAAAAAAATAAAACAGAATTTATGTTGAAAAAAAAAAATGGATTGGAAAGAGTTGTCAACTTTCTGGACACTCACGCATTGGAGGGCCACGTTTTATGAGGGCTGGAGACATTTAATCTTGGGGAGGAATTATATTTTACGAGAGGCGTACAGAAAAAAAGAAAAAAAGAGAACAAAAAAAAAGGTAAAAAGACGCACGTAGAGAGAAAAAGGATCTGGAGCAGACACACGCGGAGGGAAGCCGCAACCGCACACGAGGGAGATAGCTATTCTTTCTTTTATCTTTTATTTATTTTTATTAGTATGTTAGTTTAGTATTTTTATCCAGTTTTAAGGGATGTTTGAACCCTAACTTTGATTTGTCTATGGATTGAAGGATTTTTATTTATCGTTGATTAATCCAGACGCCGTATTTATTTTTGTTGATGAGTTTATTCATGCTATCTGTGTCGAATATTTATAAATTATGAGTATTTGATTTAGTTTGGCCAGCTAGGTTGAATATCCATGATTTTATTGCTAGATTCGGGACTTTAATCCGTAATTGTTATTGCTAGTGTATTAAATCTAGAGAGCTTATTCTAGGTTGTCCACTAGTTAGGTTTAGTCGAAGAGCCTATTTCGATTAAATATTCGGTAAGGGAAAATTCGGTTAACAGAGCTTGTTGTTTGCTAGGGTCGGTAATTCATTAGCAATTTAAAGAAAGCATCAAAATTAATTAACGGTAGATTTAGATTGGGTGATAACTGAACCGAAAAACTGGATTTCTCTTATTTTATTTGATTTTTAGTTTATTTTATTATTTTTAATTTTTATTTTCTATTAAAACCAATCCCCCCTTTATTGTTTTCGTAGTTTAGTTCAATTAATACAAAATTATCACGATTTTATTTCTACTCTTCGTGGGATCGACCCTTACTCGCCACTACTACTAGCTAGTAGAGGTTAGTCGAGGAAACTTTATAAATTTAAATTTGCCGCGTTGCGACGCGCGGTCAAATTTTGGCGCCGTTGCCGGGGAGTGGTGCAATTGAGTTGTGATTTTTTATGTTAACTGAATTATGTAATTAGATTAGTTTTTATTTTATTTTTCTTTGACTCTTTTAATCCCCCTTTTATTTTATTTTATTTCTTTTGCAGGTGGTATTTGTTCGATATGGATGCATCTTGGGGCCCGAATTGTGATTACGATTCTTCTTATGGTATGAGAGGAGAAAGAATAGATCTACATTGTGAGGCTAGGATGTCGGCTATGATCCAAGGAGCCATTGAGAGTGTTCATCAAGTTCTAAGGAAACCATGTAAGTCTATGTCATACCACACGTCACGTCACCGATGATTGTCCACTTTTGATCGAGAGGTATGGTGCACGCAGAGCTACCGAGAGAGATTGGTATCGACGAGACGATTGGGCGTATTCAAATTTTAATAGGGGCCATTACAATTGGGGAGATTGTGGAAATTCATTCTATGAAAATCCACAATACTCCCGATCGTATGAGCCTATTTATGAGCACGACGAATCTCAATTCCAATATGGAGGCTCACATTATTTTTTAGAACCTTCGCTTGAACAAGAGACTAGTCCATCGTTGATGAAGTTACTTGAAGAGTGTCAAAATTCCTTTATGGCTAGTAGCAAAGAGATTGGAGATATATTGAGCGAATTGGATTCCCGAGCCAAGAGTCGGCTAGCCGAAGCCAGCCACGATGATCGGAGAGCTTAGGATGAGCAGCAACACGGAGCTTGAG